GGGCCGCGGGGGATGAGGTGGGGTGCGGCGGGGCCGGGGCGGAGACATCCGTGTCAAGATAGGCAGATTGATTTTCCATGGCGGGAGAGCGCGGGAAGAAGTTCTGACGAACGATAATGGGCTAACTTCGTCCGAGGCGGCTCAAACAAATCGCACGGCACGGCTGCAGCGGAGAGCCCCCAACCCCACCCATCCGGGCGCATCTCATTCCTCACTTGTTTGGGCGCTGCAGACGGCGGCATCGCTCATGCGCTCTACGCCACACGTCTTGCCCTTCGCCCGCCCTCCCCCCCCTCCCCCACCCCTTCCCCCTTCTCTTCCTCTTCCCCTTCCTGCTCCGACCGGCGGAGAGGGCGATTTTTCTCCGTCACCAGTTGCAAATTCTCTCCTTTCAGAGACATCGATTTCATTTGAATAACACTTGCATTAGTCATCAGGGACGGACTTTTTCAAATGGGGCTCTTTTAAATGGCACGTGAACTAATGGCAGTGGACTTTAACATTGCAATTTCCTTGAAGGGAAGTTAACAAAATGATATTGAAACACAAAAGTAAATAATTCGTAGGAATTAATTATCATTCAGATATCTACAATATAAAAAGAAGCAAGATGTGCACTAATACTTTCGAAATCAATACAGATTTATAGATATACACCAAGTAAAAAAAAACATAACTGTATATTAATAAACCAAATTTCATTTCCTAATTAATTTTGTTCTCCTAAATGAGGGATTAACATAAAATTCGATTCTAGTTAAAATGCGACGGACATTTACACAAGATTAAATCAGAACACTAATATTTGTGAATGAAAGTTCACATAAGGATGTAAACCTTTCATTATCTTCAAATCTGTTCTCATTGATTGTACTAAAATATTCAAATAAAAAGCTGTAGTGCAGGGTTTATGAAATATATTGTAACAAAAGAAACATATACGCAGACTGTCTCAAGAGTATTCGGTCGTTTTTTTAACCAGAAGAAGAATAAAATAAAAATAAAATAGTGTGCACGAGGCAGCGGACAAGCACATGTATTTCATCTCTTGCGCAGCCTTTGGTCTCTAAAATGAATGCCACATTTTATGCATGTCTGAATACAACGATACTCATTATTCAACATGATGTTCAATTCACGGAACACAGCTAGTAATGCTCAAATTTCAAAATATCATGTAACAATTTTCTGCAGCATAAATCGATTTCCTGCTCCTCCTCTAAAATTATTTAGTTGCAAAGGAAAATCTTTGAAACACCAGGAATTTTAAAACTCCATGGCAAATACAAGGAATTATAGTTTCACCACCTGCCCGCAAGGATCGCTGCGGAATCTGTAAAAAAGAGAGAAAACCGGCGTTTGTTTCACAACTACAAAGAGACATATTATACCCAAGAGTAATTACATAAAAACTGTATCAAAATGTAATTGCGAATTCCTGGATAGCAAAAATGCAATGCGGCCCACACGCACCCCAACGAGAAGCGAAGGGACCTTGGCGTTGCGTGGGCGATGGTGGCGCCGCCCACCCCGTCCGCTCACTCCGCCCCCGCCCCCAGCCTCGCGATCGCAATCCCAAATCAAACAGCCCACGCCCGCCGCGCAGTGTAAATTTCGGTCGAATTGCAAATTGCGAATTTGGAGGAAGGCAGCGGCCGCGCCGACCGCGAGCGGGGAGGGGGCGGGGCGGGTCGCG